AGAGTGAGAAACATAGAAAATAACCAAAAGAGTAGAGGTTGGGTGTTGAACCGACACCCTCAAGCATTCTCCACGCATAACATACCACCAGGCCAAGCGGTGGTTGGTGTCAAGATATCAGGTTCAATGCATTATATAATAAACCTACAAAAATAATGAAAATATGAAAAAAAAATTGGCAAAACGGGGGATCGAACCCGTGACCTAGGAGAGGAGTGACTTAGCGCGCGCGTTTCTACCACTGGGGTGACTATACATCCGTTTATATAATTAAATTAATTAATATATAATATATAAACAAATATATTGACCGGAGAGGCGTCGGAGCCCTAGCTCCGGTCGTTTTCTCCAGCGACTTGTTTCTTTCAAATCCTGCAAAACCAAAGCGTTAATGATCCAAAAATGTCCTACGCCCCTAAAACAAAGGTTGCGAATCTGATGGGAGTATTTTTGTAAGCTAAAACGCAAGGGTTGAAGGGCTATGAGGAAAACATATGAATCGGTGCTAGCATGGTGGTTTATGATTCATTATGCATGAGACCTCCATGATTGTTCTAACTTGCACTTTCAAAACACATAAACACATTAGAGACGTTAATACATGTTAAAGCAAACAATAAATTAAGATATGAATGTCATTAACATTATGAAATCGAAGATGTCACTCAAGGAGATTTCATGCGTTCTTGACCATCCAATTTGGTCCACACTTACTCTATAGGCTTGCTGGAAGAGAATGGAGTGGATATTTTGCAGTGAAAAGGGTTTGGCGCAAGAGTTTCAAGATTTAGGATTCTTGAGAAAAGTTTGGATTTTTTTTTTGTAAATTTGTGAGGCAAGGTTTTTTGTGTCCTCTTGTATGAGAAGTGATGAGATTACATAGGGGAATTAGGTCAAAGTCATGGGGGTTTGGACCTTGTAGAAGAAGAAATAATTTTATCTTATTTATTTTTCATTATTTAATGAATAAATAAAAAATAATTAAAATAATTAAGATAAAATAGGTCATGGGGTGTAAGAAAAAGGTATGAGGTGTATGATGGGTATAAAGCACGTTTGGACTCTCAAACCATGGTCCAATAGCCCAAAATATCAAGCTTGCTCAATTTGAACTTCATGCATTTGTTCAAAATTTCCCAACTTGCAATGGTCATAACTCACTTAATTTTTATCTTTTCAAGGCGATCTTAGACTTTCTAGAAAGATAAATATGTCCTATTCAACCTCCATGTTTATCAGTTTTGCTTTTGAAGAATTTATCTTGATGTAAGTTTCCTTGACAAAAAGTGTCTTTTTGTTGACTTTTGAAATGACCTATAATGTTTTGGCCCATATCTCTCAAATGATGCACTTTATGGACTTGAGATTAGAGAGACAAAGTTGTATAGAATTGAATTCCCTACAAAATGAGATTTGGTTGGGGAAAAGCTGATGAAGCATGTGAAAGTTATGTCTGGTCAAAGTTCAGTTGACTTCTTCTAAGGAAACCCTAATTTGACAACTTTTGATTTTTGATGATTTGAGGGCTTTTCTTGAAGAATCATGATCAAAACTTGCTCAAATGATGAATATTAATTCAAAATGTTGATGTTGACCAAAAATATTGAAGTTTGACTGTATGTTGACCTTTTCAGTCATCTGAGCCATTGATTGAGCAAACTTGTAATACAAGGCTTAAAGCTTGACATGAGCATTCTTAGGGACATATTAATAACCATGAAAACCAATTGAGACCTTAAAAACCCAATCTTCCTTGAGAAATAGAAAATCCTATTTGTGAGTCGATTTTTTAGGAGGGGAATTTATCTGATCAATTCTTGAGCCACCTTGAGCATTTTAGAACCCTAAGAGAATGTCTTGAATAAAACGAGAGGACAAATTTTGGGGTAAAACAACATTCAAGAGAGGATTGCAAATAAACAACGCAAATGATCCTTTGGAGATAAAGAACACAAAGGAAGTAGCGCGAGAACGGCGAATTGAATTGAAGTCTTGTGTGCAATAGGTACAATTGATCGTGCGTGAAAACTTTGGAGATAAAGAACGCAAAGGAATAGCAATATCGACAAGTTAATTGGTATCTATTGTATCTTGGTCTTTCTCAAGATCAAAAGAAGAGAAGAGATTGAATCAACAACAAACAATTAGGGTTTGTATGGTTGCTCTTGGAACACTTCTCTTGTAACAATTTTTTGCATAGTAAGAATTATCCTAATTCCAAAATTGGAATTGGGGGGAGACGTAGCCATAGCGAGGACAAATTGGCGAACTTCCTAAACAAATCCTCGTGTCTATTTTTCTTATCACTTTACTTACTTAATTTTCATTTATCAAATTGTCAAATAGCATCGAGTAATCGATCGACTCATAAAAATTTTTCCGTGATCGTTTTTATTTTTAATTGTGTGTTGATTTGCTTATAATAATTTTTGATTATAAGTGCTTTTTTATATCAACACAACTCAAAGGAAAATTCTAAAAATTCGACCGTACACCAAGTGTTCGACCAATTTTATAGTTTGTTCTTTTGGTAGTTACTATTGAAAATAGTATTGCTAGTAACTTGCTATAAATGATTAATATCTTGTTACTTGATTGAAGTTTATAAATTCAGTATATATTGTTAATTCCATATATCTCATTACATTAGCATATCTGACGTTCAATAACTTGGTTCGTATAGACGATAATTTTTTTTATCTAAATCGAAACCTCCCGCGTGCACTCTTTTTAAACTATTTTTTTAAAACCATAATTTTTATCTAGATTTTTTGGCTTGGTGATCTATTCACCCCCTCTAGATAAGGCTTCTTCGTCTAACATCTATAATCGAATAATTAATCAAAATTGTACATTAATGATCTTCGTCTGCGATTGCGACCACAATGTTGAAGGTTTTAACTATGATTTGATGAATTTCATGTATCATAAAGATGCTGAGAAATATTTACTTGCGTTAAAAAAATGGATTGACTAGAAGTCATGTACTGAATACTATTATCGCATGCATTCTTAATCCATGTTTTATAGAAGTTCTATGAAACATATTGTTATTCTTTGTTGTTGGTTGTTTAAGTATCTAACTAGTTTATAAATGCGCATGTTCTGCTATGAAAATCTTTGATTGAGGAAATGTATGTTAAAATGAATAGAAGAAAAACTTGTAGAAATGAAGGAGAAAATGAGAGCAGTGAAAGAAGCAGAATAAGCATAAGCAATAAAATGTTTAATATCAACTGAAGTTGTAGAAAGTAACATATGTAGCAATAACTATTGTTTTTAATTGGATCATGTAAGAAGAAACACAAAACATGAATTATACATAATGCTCTACTTAGTGAAGCATTATTATTAATTATATCCAATTGTGTTTTTGTTAATTTGGATTTATGTTTGTTTTAATTTAGTTTGTAGCTTAAAGTGATTTTTTAGGCTCAACAAAAAATCAATCAAATAACCCGTTTAAATCGTGTGTATAAATACACAATTCGTGTTAATCCAACCGTCCAAACCAATTTAAAAAAGGAATGAAAATATACTTATATGACTCAACAGCAGGTTGAGATGGGTAGGATTTTTGGATCCAAAATTGCCCAACCTAACCCGTTGTCCAACCTTAATTATGACAGTTACCTACACTTCCCCCTCAATGTAGATAACATAATCATAAGTAATTGGATTGTTATATTTATAAATAATCCAAAAACCCTTGAGAGGCTATAATAAAATGCATATGCTAAATATATAACTAGTCTTGTCTAGTTCTTGTTATCTTTATAAAAGGAATTTTGCAGATAGTGACATAATAAGAAGATTATTCTACATAAAATAAAGCTAAATGGAATGATACAATCTAAATATTAACCTAGCAAAGCAACAACCTCATTAAAATCACTTTCAATTCTCACCCCATTTAAGCTATGTGTAATGTATTCGTATCGCGACTTTAGAAAAATCTTGTACCACATATTAATTTCTCAATCAATACCGATACTAGTGCAATCCCAAAAGTGGTTAAGTTAAACAAAATTACCTTTATGAAAGTCATGACAGTTTTTTTTGCAAGCAAAAGACTTATTAACAGCGAACACAAGTGATACTGAATCCGATTACAAAAAGCTGATTAAACCAGGAAATTTGTCCACTCTTATTGAAATTGTCCCATAACCGATCCCGTTGATGAAATTTGATTCCTAACTAACGTTCAATTTCCATCCAAACTTTCTTTGAAATTGAACAAGAAGAAAATAGATTTTCAAACATTTCGTTATGTTGGAAACATAACACACAGAATAAATCCGTGCTCCATATTAACAATTCTTCTCTTTAATAGTTAGTCTTTATTTAAGTTTATGTCATTTATTTAATGGAAAATGCATCTTTCCAATTTCCATCTACTTTCTCTCCCTGAACATTCTTTCCTCACTCTTTCATCAAAATCAAACTCATGAGAGATGATGACGTGTCGGTATAGAATGAGATCGTAAAAGATCCCACGGTAACCCATGCGCCTTCACGTACCAAATCAATGCCTATCAGGTAGAACTTTCTCGAACACATAAGAAATGGTTACAAATACACAACAAACAAAACCACGATCGAAAATCCAACGTCTCTGCGTCCAAATTCCGCAACCGTGCTTCGTTTCGCGATTCCAGAACCAGGTAAAATTCCAAACTCTGACTCTTATATTCATCCGATCCATCATTATTGATCGGTTTTACATATATTATTCTTCAGAAATTTCAGTAAAAATTGTTTATATCTGCATGTAATATTTTGATTGTTAATTTTTCTATTAATTATAGGTGTTGGAAATTGGTGTTTTAAGTTTACACTGCATCAAATTATCAATGAAAATCTTGATTCTAAGACCTGTGTTTTCTTTCTGTTGAAATTGGGTGTAGTAGGGTGAATTGTCCTTAATTTATACTGTGATCAATCATCATGATTATGTTTAACGAATTTTTTTGTGTGATGATAGGTGTAACGAGATCAACATGAGGGGAAGAAGCTACAGTTACAGTCCGTCACCTCCAAGGTATGGTCGAAGAGAACGCAGTCCTAGTCCTAGGGGCCGTTACGGAGGCCGTTACAGAGGTCGTGATAGAGATTTGCCAACAAGTCTTCTTGTCCGGAACCTGCACAAAGATTGCAGGTATTCAAAGCTTTATAGTAGTTTTTTATTTTATTTAGACTCGTCTTTATTGTATTGCCATTACGATAAACTATAAGAGAAGTTATTTAGAAAGATTTTCTAGATTAATGATTTGGATAGAAGCATGATTCTGAATACAATATTATGGCGCAAATTGATTCATGGAGCCGATCCCATTTAGTGGGATTAGACTTGATTATTGTATTGCTATTATTCTGGTTCCTTGTGTATGTTTTTTGCTTGTATTCTAGCATGGCGTTTAATGGAATGGTTCGTTTTTTTACCGCAATATTTGGTTTTGCAGGCCGGAAGATCTGCACGATCCATTTGGCCAGTTTGGTCCTGTCAAGGACGTGTATCTGCCTCGTGATTATTATACAGGGTGAGTATATACCTGTCTGAAACATAGCCGATAAGCTTTTATAGTTTATTTTGTTTTATGAGAGGCATAGGTTGAGGCTTGGATTTTATTTAAACATGGCTTATGTGGAAGTTGTGTCTGGTGTTATTATTTCCTGATTTTGAAAAAAAAAAAATTATGGGTTGTATTATTTTAATTTTTCCAATTTGTTATAAGTAACCTGGAATTTACAATCCACTCATTTTATGGGAATTTGGTTTTTTTATTGAAAGTGTTGAAGACAAGAATGAAGTAATAAGAGTGTTGTGTTGAAGTCAAGAATGAAGTAATAAGAGTGTCATTGTGAAGACACCCACCAAGTAGTAAGTCTTGAAGCTCAGGGGGATGTTAGTTTTCCAAAGATTGAGTGTGAATTGGTTATGAAGAAGTTCAAGTCTTGAAGTTCAGGGTGATGTTAGTTTTCCAAAGATTGAGTGTGAATTGGTTATGAAGAAGTTCAAGTCTTGAAGATTTGGCACTTACAAGGTTAGAATTGTGTGGTGTTTATTATTGAATTATGCGGAGACTCGAGAGTATGACTTGTGTTGGAGACGGGTCGCATTTGTGAATAATGAATATCTATAACCCACATTGATTCAGTATGCAGACGTGTTCATTTGTTGCGCCATGTATATCTTGTCTTAATGCTTTTGGATCTTCTTTTCCAGGGAGCCAAGGGGATTTGGGTTTGTTCAATTTGTGGACCCAGCTGATGCTGCAGATGCCAAATATTACATGGATGGTCAAATTCTTCTTGGTCGTGAGTTAACTGTGGTGTTTGCTGAAGAAAACAGGAAGAAACCTCAAGAAATGAGAGCAAGAGAACGGGGAAGGTAAGGATGTAGGTTATTTATTTTCTGTAATGATATCAAAGTTAGTAATTAAATCATGCATCATTGTGTCCTTTTGAAATTGCATGTTTTTAGTCTATTCTCGATTAAGTATTTCACATTCTTATTCAATCTATCCCTGGAATAGGTCATATGATTATAGGAGATCTCCACGTCGTCGCCCTTCTCCTTCACCACGCTATGCACGGACATATTCTCCTAGTCCAGACTATTCCCCCTCTCCCAGACAAAGGCGATACTCCAGATATTCCAGGTTTGTTATTGCATTAGCTTTTTACTCAATTCCATTTTGTGGCGTAAACTATTTGCTGTGTTTAATTCTTAGTAAGGCCCGTTCTGTCATAATTCAGGTCAATTTCACCAAGAGACGGGAGGTATAGGAGGGGATCATACTCCAGATCTCCTTATGCATCAAGAAGCCCCAGACGAAGTAGGAGTTACAGCAGGAGCATAAGTCCAGGATACTCTAGGTGATTTAACTTGACAAGCTTGGTTAATGTGGGAGATGATGTTCTAATTTTTTGTCATTTCTAAAGATGCTTGTGTTCAGTGCTTCAATGTTGTTGATTGATATGGAAGTAGTAAGGATTTGTCGTAGCTTTGTTTATGCTCTATATTTAGCCCTGTTTTTTAATATCAAAAGTTCTACTGGATTTAGTTTTTTTGTGTGCTTTTCTACCTCCAATTCTTGTTTTTACCAATTTCACCGAGTAACTTATATATTTTTTTTTTTTGCAAACTTGAGTAAAGTTTGTGTAAATAAAAGGAAAACAGTGCATTACATATTGGGTGGCATCAATCTTGTTTAGATTGAATTAAGTATTTCTTGTGACATATTAAATCAAGTTAACTTGCTGAGGGCGTGACATTTAACGAATTCTAACTAATCATGTTTATGGAGATGTCAAAAGTGATTGGTTTAGAATCAATTTTGAAATTTTTTTTTAAGGATAACTGATTGTATCTTCAAAAGCAGTTGAAGTTAGCGAATGAAAGTCTTAATTTTAAAACGATTTTTACACAAAAGTTAATTGGTTTAGGTAGTGTATTGAGAGTGTAAAATAATTTTACATTGTCATTTAATTGGATTTTTTACTTTTTAAAACTTTTTTACTTTTTAAAAAATAACCGCATATCTCCTTTTCTCTTAAAGGAGATTTTATGTAGTGATAATGATATAAAATAATTTTGTATTTTAATATGTTTTTATTTTAATTTACATAAATTATGAGGAACAAAAACGGATTAAGGCGACCAAGGAAACAAATAAATGCAAAACAGGATCTGGTATAAAACTACAAAGCAACAACAAATGACAACCGTTGTTTTAGTATGAAGATGATATCTTTATGTTCATTGCTCGTTTCGTGAGAATTTAATTTGCCACCCTTGAAGTTGAACATGACATTTCTCTTTTTTAGTGTTTTTACGTTATACTCATGTAAATACCAATAATTTTGAGAAGATTAAGTGGTTTCATAATATTTTTTTTAAAGTAATAGCTGGAATTTTATTAGGTTTTTAAATTTTCGGTTATGGAAATTTCAAATTTCTAGTTTGAAAATTTCAAAATTTACGTGAGAATACGTAATTTATCAAATTTTTTGAAATTTCTAATAGTTAAAAAAAAAAAAACTAAGTCGATAAAAATATTATCGACTACATATATACATATAATAACTGTCATACATATAAAAATATAAAATAAATTATAATGACTTTTTAACTTCGTTTTTTTAGTGACTAAAGCGATTTGTATATGTTGATTTTTACGCTTTTGTATTATTAGTATAATTTTGTTTTCAGTGGTCAGTGACGGAGACAACAGACAATCAACTTTTAATTTTACTTGAACTCAATGATTGTTGACAAAATCAACAACAATGATTTTATGTCTGTTCTTATACATAGGTGGAGCTAAGGCAAGAGAAAAAATGTGATGTTAAGTGATCGCGATTTTAAGAGTCTATCAGGTGTAGTGATTGTAAGGGCACAGTCTAATCACATAGTTTTAAAAGATACCGAACCCATAAGGATTGATAATCAAACTACTGTTATCTATAGTCATTGTAAAGCTAGGGCTAATGATTAATCTTGGGTTTGGGTGAGATGAAAATAAATTTGGATTTAAATGAAATATTTGATAACGGGACACCGGTATGTAATATGTTGGACTTCAGGAATTTCAGTAAGTCATTGACATAGCTTTGAGTATTAAAATATTATTTTAGTAGAAACTATCAATTTAAAAACTTTTATCTCACACTCTTTTAATTATTGATTCTGACTATATTATTATACTTAAATGTTTGCTCTCGCTGTCTCATTTAAAATCTAAAAATACTTTTTGAAAACAAATAGAATCTAATTAATTCTAAACGCTCTCTGTATTTAAAATTAATGTTTGATTATCATTATCCGGTTAAAATCTCAAACTCTCGTTATGTCGATTTTAACTTTCTTTTGTCTTTTACTCGTAACAAAACAGTTTTAATACTAAATGTTGGAAATCAAACCAGAAAAATATTTTATAAATGTTTATGCCAATTCATTATCGAACCCTTTCAGTTATATAACCTTACATACTGGTATCAGGAAAAATAGTCATACATGTTATTGAGTACCAACACAAAATTACAGTAAACAAACAATAACATAATAATGATTATTAAGTATAAAATAGTAAATATAAATGAAATAAGAATCTGAAATTAATAGAGGAAATTGAAATTAATGTTAAATTTCTAGTGCCAAGTGCAGTCTTCCATAATATGCCGACAGGATTTGCTTTGCGGAAAATATTAACTTGAATGCATGAAAAATATAAACTAAAACAAAGTCTGAAGGATGAGAATAAAATTTACTCGTGCAATTGCTCTCCGATGTAGAAAACTATTGCTAATTCAGGTGGGAGAATATCTGCTTAAAATTTCTAAAGTAATGGTTCTGAATTATGAGAAAATTGAACACAAGTGTGCCCCTTGTTTGCTTCCTGGTTGCTTCCTTTTTATAGCCTGTTTGTAACTTTCGTTGGAGAAGATTTAGGAGTCATATGACAATTGGAAGACACGACTTCTCCAAATAATCAGGGACATGGTCATCATGGAGTGGAGTATAATACGGACTCAGTTGTTGCAGTTGAGAGAATATAGAAGCTTCGTTGCAGACATGAAGAGAACCACGTAATGAAATTATAAATTGTGGCGAGGGGCATGCCTTGTGTGCCGTAGAGCACACAAGTCAAAGTTGTGGCGACCGTAATACGTGTGTGTCGAGGGGCACACATAATTCCAATGTGTGGCGACCGTAACACATGTGTGTCGAGGGGCATACATAATTCTAATGCGTGGCGACCAAATGGAGATTGTGACGAACGTCACAGTCCTCTTCCATGCAATTTCCTTCTGTTTTTTTGCTATAAAGTCATTTTAACTCATTTCTTTATCATTTCTTCTTCTTTTCTCATGCAAGTCTCGTGGAATGCAAATACCTGAAACACACTTAAAATACCAATATAATGCAACATAATTAACAGAAAGTGGTAACATCATTTATGATAATCGAGCCGAATATGCAATGCATTTTTGTGTTATTAAATTCTCCCATGCTTGAACCTTTTCTTGTCCTCAAGCAAATAATCAGTATGATAATCAATTAAACACGAGTTAAACGTAAATACATGATACAACTCAAATCGTACGTGGTTGCGAGGTATTTTCGTTAGAACAATGAAAGCTCAATATCAACACTAAACATACAGTAATGACACTAAACAACCCCACCTTATGCAGACCAGTCTCAGTCATGCTATTATAGCTCAACCTAGTTCTTTTCGCTTTGTTTCATCCGTTTTATTCGAGTGCAATCACATTAAGCCCTTTTATCTTTTTGCACGCACATAGTAGAGTAGCCGGTTAGTGATGGTCATTTTAAGCACGGGGTTCGGGTACATAAATTTGGTAACCCCTTTATTTACCCAATCGCAAGTTACGAGGGATCGAACCATAGTCCGCCCTACTAAGTTCAGCACCAGATACCTCTGAATCAACTTACATCGGGTTGTTATAACATATTTTGTAGGTTCCACAACTGTTGGATTAAGTAACTGAGTGAGGATCACCTAACTTAATTAGTGCATTCCCTATTTTCAATTCATCATGGCACGATATTTTTGGAAATTTTTTAAGACCATTCACTTATATTCATCGCCTCTCTACGTAGTTTGTTTTTAAGATGGTGTCGACTTATTATATAAACTACTCGGGGTTACTTTAAAGCTTAAGGTTTCAGTATAATAGGTACTTAAATCGATCTCACGTAAGCGGGGGTTTTAGAGTGTCAAGACGGTATCAATTTTGTTTAAATTTTACTCAAAATTTCTAACATATCTTAAGAGTGAGAAACCTATATACTTTTCGAATGTGTCAAGTAATTTATCTAAATTTCGAATGTGTTAAGATGGTATAATTTTTTTGTTATGGCTCAAGTAAGTGAGGAAGTTAAATAATAAAAAAATCTGCATATAAAGACTTGATAGTACATAAATGTTTATTTAAGGGAAATAAGCGATAATGTAAATCTACTAAGAAAGTGGTAAATGAAAGCGGTAAAGCTTCCTCTCCCATACTTAGACCAAGCATTGTCCCCAATGCAACAATGTAATGTGAGAAAGGGATAAAGAAACTGAGATGATGACTACTCGTCGCCTCAGCCACGTGCTCTGCGATGTGCCCTTGCTCGTGCTCGTCCACCTGCATAATCTCTACCTTGGAAAGGCTCTGCACCAAATCCCAGAAGTCTGACATGAGTAACAAAATCGCGCAGGCCGTCAACACGATAAGTCAATGCTCGCATCTCTTCGGTTAGCTCCGACATACTACAAACATTCCAGTAGGCGTAGTCGTGTTGATCTTGCTGAAGTTGTCGGATCTCCTGCATCACCTTATTATGTTGCGCTTCCATTATTTGGTAATGTTGAGCTTCTGCTTCATTATGTCGCAACATTTCAGCCTAAATATCATAAGAGTAACTGGATGGCCCTGGTTTCTTCTTCTTCGGGGCTGATGCCCGGATGATGAACCTGCAAAATTTTCAGGACGAATTTGTGCAGCAGGTGGGTGGATGTCAGGTTGTAGAGCTTCTTGCTCCAGTAATTGCTCTATTTAATCGGGCTCAACATTATTCTAACCACCTTGGTTATCCTGGACGTTTTCACTAGTAGCAGGAGCATTCAGATCATAACGCCACTTCTCTATATTCATTACATCGGTGAGCATGAGATTAGGCAAAATAATACTCAGAACTACTTTATTATGCACCATAAGATTATATTTTCCATCCTCTCTAGCCTTGATTAGGTGACCAACATGATAGTTGTCAATATCGATAAATAGGGCTAGAAATGAAGGCAAATTCACTAGTCTGTCCCCCAGGTTCAAAGCAAGTAGTATAGAGGTAACTAACCCTCCAATACAGAAAGGTGTAATACCCCTTGCACAAACAGATTGGATATATGCCAAGAGGAAGGCACTAGCATTGATCTTCTAACTAGGCGTGAAGGTGCAATGCAGGACAACCAATTCCTTAGAGTTCACTTTGTTGTTGTTCATCCTCCCGAAAATGGTGTTGGATAGAATGCAGTGAAAATAGCGGATGGATGGATTATGAATAGAGGAAGTAAAAAGTCCCTCCCAACTAGAAGGTCGCTCACCAGTTAAAGAGTGCCATAGTATGAATGTTGTTTACGCCCAATCTACCTCTGGAGGGATTCAGTAGTATACTTCTCCTCTACGAGGGAAGCGTAGAAAAT